CAAATGTGGGCGTGACTTGAAGTTTATTCACTCTATATTCTTGAAGGCTTGTCGAACTGCCGAATTGTTAAACTCAAGCTCCAAATTAAATCAAAATTCCATCTCGAGCGAGAAATAATATTTAATTTCGAGAAAAATCATCTCATATTAATTAAATTAAATTAGTTTTGTATCAAAACTCTTGACAAACTCCTAGCCAAGTTGTCCAACCCTAATTAAGTAAGTCAAAACTGCTTATAAAAAATACTTATATATAAATTTTCCTTTTCCTTGCGCTTTTCCATGGCATTTTCATGCACTAATGAGTTGACTAGTCAATCAGCTAAGTACTCAACACTTAAATAGCTCGTTAATCCGCCTGGTTAGCCACTTGATATGGCCTTGGCAATCGGGCTTCAAACTGCAGAGCCCAAGTACATTTTCGCATAAATCAATCAAATGGTTTTGCACTGCAATTGCCAATCAATAAACGAAGCCAAAAATAGCGAGCCAAATAAAATAAAATATAAAAAAACGACTCTAGTTGAAGCAACTGCAATTTATCACTGCAAATAGAAGGTGCCAGCAGAGGAGAGCCACCCACGCACAGGAGCCCAACCATTGGGATATCAATTTCAGGCGCCCGTTTGGCTCATTTCTAATGCGCGACGACAGCGCGCGCCTGCATAATTATGCATGATCCAGCCTCAGATTCAGCCGGAGCCGCCCACTCACAAAGCAAGTTTCAATCGAAAGTTCGCAGCATTTAAGCCACCAATCAGCGTCAGAGTCAGCAGCGGGTGGGGTTTAGTCAACGGAGAGGGGGGAGGGGGGTATGTAGGTGGACTTGGTTAATGCCAACACGAAGGCGCCTGTTTTGAATTTTGAAAAAGTACGTGAAGCGAGGCCAAGTTTGCGACTGACCTCCCCCCCCCCCCCCTCTCTAACCCTGCTGCAGTGCAACACGGCTGTGTAGACGTAGCCTTAGCCATATCCGTATCCGGCTACGACTACGGCCATAACTGCACCAAAGTATGGCAATCATTTTTGCTTTAAGGCAAAAGGCGTCGCGACTTGCTCCGACGCTCGGAATGACCAACATTTTCAATTACAACAAAGGAATGCCGGTCATTATTTATTATGCCGACCGCATGGCCTCGAGCAGCTGCCCCCCTACAGCTCCCTTCCCCTCCGCTCTCCCTACCTATCCTCTAAGAGCCAGCTCATTTCAGCGCTGAGCAACTTAAGCCCTTCCACAGAACGACTGTCCTCTGGCCATTCGCGTTGGCTGCTGCCGCTGCTGCTCCTGACGCCGCTTCATTCATCTAATATTCATGAAGAAAATGTTGCGCTCGTGCATATACATTTTGCAGTCACTGTCTGTGCGCCGTCATTTTTCACAAACAGATCGCCCGATGGCCCCAACCCGCCGCTTGGCGGCTTTTCATAATTTTCTGTTTATAAGACGTGCAGCAGGCTGCACTTTTTTTTTTTTATTTTCTTCCCTCACTTCACAGCCGCCCTCCCTTTCTCAGCAACCTCCCTTAACCCCTTCGGCTTGTCAGTTTTATGTGTTTTATGAAATTTTTCGCAGCATATTTTGTGTATATTGTATTACGCTTTTGCTTAATTTTGTACGCCGCTTGTTGTAAAATGTTCTGGCGAAAAATGCTCTCATAAATCAAACACAGGCATTTTTCTTAAGCCCCCCCGCGGACAGCCCCCTTTTGCCATGAGCCAAGTGGCAAACGAGTTCATTGGCTCTTGGGTATTTATTTTTTTATTTTTTTATCTTTTCGTTTTGCTGAAAATTTTAATTGCATTCTGAAAAAGCAAGCTGTAGTTTTCTATGCCAACTGCTCAATTAAACAAAAGCCTTGTCTGCTGCTTAAGGACAAAAGGTCACAAGAACAAATTTTAATATGCATGTGGCAGGAGGCGGAGAGACCGGAGAGGCGGCTGCCGCAAGAGCAAAAGTGAATTCGAGCCAATAAATAAGTTTAAATTCAATTCAATGCAAAGACATAAATCATATTAAGGCCATAATTAAAGAATTTGAATTGATCTTGTTTAAATACCAAATGAATTGTTTGCATTTTAAAGTGTTTCAAACGATGCTTGAATATTTATTGAGTCCAAGCTCAAATCAATTTGTAAGCATTTTAAATCATATTTATTTAAAGATTACAAATAATTATGAGTTAAAAGTGGAATGCATATAAACTAAGAAATATTGATAGATAAATATTAATAAAAATTGATTTTGAAACAAAGTTTCTTGAGAAAAACTCGAATATTATAAGAGCTAGAACTTAAAAATTTTGTAACTTGGAGATCTCTATATATAAAGCTGTTTGTCCTGACTAACTGACTGACTGACTGACTGATTGATGAAGTTTTAAGTTTTTTCCGATTTGCTTCAAACTAATTTTCAACGCACTCCATAAGAATTAAATGATGAAGCGACTTGGGAAATTCCGCCCGCAATACTGGTAAATTGGCGGATATCGTTGGTATGAAAGTTGTTTGTTGACCATCCGATCAGTTTCAAAATCACTTTCAAAGCTTTTTGAGAACATTTACTTTCCACGTGCCACGGGCAAAGCCAGGCTATACCCGCTAGTTGCCTATATACACTTAGGTCAAATTTCCCACCCTCATAACTCGGTCAAAACTCAACAGATTTTCATAAAGTTTGGCTTTTTGTTCATCGTTTGGCTTCTAAATCAATCTGGCATCAAAATCTGACAACATTATTTTTGGTCAAAATTCATGTGAAACGGTACCCTCAAATATCCTATATAGACATAGGCCAAAATTTCCCACGTCCATAACTCAGTCAAAACTCAACAGATTTTCGTATAGTTTGGCTTTTTGTTTATGGTTTGGCTTCATACAAATCTGACAACATGATTTTGGGTCAAAATTCATGTTAAAATGGCACCCTCAAATAGCCTATATAGACATAGGCAAAAATTTCCCACGTCCATTACTCGGTCAAATCTCATCCGATTTTCATAAAGTTTGGCTTTTTGTTATTTGTTTGGCCTCTAGATCAATTTGGCATCCAAATCTGACAAAATTATTTTTGGTCAAAATTCATGTAAAAATGGTACCCTCAAATATCCTATATAGACATAAGTCGAAATTTCTCACGCCCATAACTCGGTCAAATCTCATCCGATTTTCATAAAGTTTGGCTTTTGGTTCATGGTTTGGCCTCTAAATCAATCTGGCATCAAAATCTGACAACATGATTTTGGGTCAAAATTCATGTGAAAATGGTATCCTCAAATATCCTATATAGACATAGGCCAAAATTTCCCACGTCCATAACTCAATCAAATCTCATCCGATTTTCATAAAGTTTGGCTTTTGGTTCATGGTTTGGCCTCTAAATCAATCTGGCATTAAAATCTGACAACATGATTTTGGGTCAAAATTCATGTGAAAATGGCACCCTCAAATATCCTATATAGACATAGGCAAAAATTTCCCACGTCCATAACTCAATCAAATCTCATCCGATTTTCATAAAGTTTGGCTTTTTGTTCTTTGTTTGGCCTCTAGATAAATTTGGCATCCAAATCTGACAAAATTATTTTTGGTCAAAATTCATGTGAAAATGGTACCCTCAAATATCCTATATAGACATAGGCCAAAATTTCCCACCCCCATAACTCAGTCAAAACTCAACAGATTTTCATAAAGTTTTGCTTTTGGTTCATGGTTTGGCCTCTAAATCAATCTGACTTCAAAATCTGACAACATGATTTTTGGTCAAAATTCATGTGAAAACGGTACCCTCAAATATCCTATATAGACATAGGCCAAAATTTCCCACGTCCATAACTCAGTCAAAACTCAACAGATTTTCGTAAAGCTTAGCTTTTTGTTAATGGTTTGGCTTCTTATTTAATCTGGCATAAAAATCTGACAACATGATTTTGGGTCAAAATTCATGTGAAAATGGTACCCTCAAATATCCTATATAGACATAAGTCGAAATTTCTCACGCCCATAACTCGGTCAAATCTCATCCGATTTTCATAAAGTTTTGCTTTTTGTTATTTGTTTGGCCTCTAGATCAATTTGGCATCCAAATCTGACTAAATTATTTTTGGTCAAAATTCATGTGAAAATGGTACCCTCAAATATCCTATATAGACATATGTAGGTCCAAATTTCCCACGTCCATAACTCAGTCAAAACTCAACAGATTTTCATAAAGTTTGGCTTTTTGTTCATGGTTTGGCCTCTAAATCAATCTGGCATCAAAATCTGACAACATGATTTTGGGTCAAAATTCATGTGAAAATTGTACCCTCAAATATCGAATATACCCATAGATGAAAATTTCCCACCACCATAACTTGGTGAAATATCATCCAATTTTCACGACATAGGTCAAAATTGCCCACCCCAATCGCTCGGACAAATCTTATCCGACGCCGGGATATATATGTATATATATATGTATATATATATATATATATATAACGAGAGTTTCCTTCTTCATATATATAATATATAAAAGGACCGTAAAGTTTATAATTGATTGAACACTCCCCACAAAAGCAATCTTAATTGTTAAACAAATAAATACTATATGACCAAAAAGCTCATAAATCTATGCAGCTCGCAATTACTCATATTTTGTAAGCCCTTGGCAATTTCCGCAAATAGTAGGTCAATTAAAGCTCAATGTACCAAATTATGATTGACAAAAGGCAAACAGCAAGACACAAGTCCGACAATATTAGTATGGCCCGGTTTTCTATACCCCTAAAACCCGAACTAAGACACAGATTCTGAAAAGAGAAAACAGAAATTAAGTTGCCAAAGGAGACGGTCTGCCCAAAAGGCAAATGAAAACAATATGATGATGGAAATGATGACAAGCAGAATAAGAGAATAGGAGGGAACAATGTGTCTCAATGCTGACAATGGGATACTCTACAAAACAAAATTTGCCTATAAATATTTCTGAAAAAAAACGTATATTTTGAATAGTAACTCACCGCATATCCACACATTCCAAACTATATTGCACATACATTTGATCGATTTTTTCTAGATGATATAGTGCAACGATCTTTAAGATTTCATAAGCTGTACAGCTGAGACTCGTTAGAACGACTTGGCTAAGATATCTGAAAGAGGGAAAAATGTTGTAATGTAACAAAAATTTGTATTATTTGCTTATTTTATTTTGTTCAAAAATAAACTAAGAAATGCAGGTAACTGATCTGATGAATTTTGAATATGTTAAGAGCCTAATAGGTACATTTACATATTTTTAGTTGGAGCCAATTTTCAAAAAATAATTTGGTGTTTTATTATCAACATATAAATGAAGTCGATCTGCACCTGGTCACACTTAATAGTTCCAGGATCGAAATCTAATATAAATCTAAAATTTTTTTTTGGTTATGAAATGCTATCATTAGATAAATTTATGATCAAACTTAATAGAATTCAGTACAAATATTGCTAGAAAATGTCCAAACTTGCCAAATTATGCTGAATGTTGCTAAGAACTAATTCTAAATTTACCATCGTTATAAATTAATACCGGAACTGTAGAAGAGGTTCAAACTTTCCAAAGATAATGTCAAATAGCAGCTGGTTATACTTAATATTGTAAAGATCTAAATCTAATTTATATCCTAAAAATCTCTTTTATTTTATATCATACGTCTAATTGATCATATTAATAAAAATCCATCGTAATTAATATAAAAATGTTTGCTAGAAATTGTTCGCATTTTACAATGCAAATGCCAGCTGGCAGCAGCTGGTCACACTTAATGTGGATCTAAATCTATTCACGTAATTAAAATCTAAAAAATATCTGACATTTGATGGTCTCAAAAAAGCCAAGCAACTGTCATACCCTTACGGTTAGGGTATACAAATATAAGCAAATGCCACTAATTTGCTAGGTTTGTTGTATTCATAACGTTTTTGTTGTTGTTGCTGTTGTTGTTGCTTCATCCGTTTGCGCTGCCTAATTGTTGTCCAGCCCTGACACAGTGCCACAGATACAGATACGAGGCAGTAATCCAAACAATGGCAAACAAAAGTAAATGCAGAACCCTTTTTTTTCTGTATGCGGGCGGAGGAGGAGCAGGGAGGTGAAGGGAATTGTTGCATAAAGCCGAACAACAAATAAGTTTGAGTTGACGGCAAATGCGGCGTATGCGTAATATTATTTGTGTTGTGCGGTCACAGCGGTCTCTCGATTTGATTATGTAACAAATAAGCCGCACAAGTGGCTCACCAAACAACAGCAGCGACAACAGCAGCAACAATAATAAAGACAACAACAAATAAGCCAGTTGTATGGCAAACAATAGAAATACATATACATTTTTGATTTATTTGAGCGTGTAAAGGACTCACACACATGCACACACACACACACACACGCACACACACCGGAAATCCAAGAAGGAAAAACAGAAGCGGCAAAAAGTTTTCGCTACAATTGTAGGCCATGCCACGCCCTCGTTGCTCGTGGAACACCTCGACGATAATCCTGTTAAAATTTGTTTGTTTCCATAGTGCAAAAGTTTTGTTGCCGATTGTTTTTTTATATATACCCTGAACCCATTGAAAATAGGCAGAAAGGGTATGATGGTTCTGTGCATGTGTATGTAACAGGCAAACAGTAACAGAAAGGCATTTCCGACCCTATTAAGTAATATATATTCTAGGTCGGCATCAAAAGACGAGTCGATCTAGGATCTTAGAACCTATAAGAACTAGATCCTGGAAATGTAAGTAGGTTTCCGAAAATCGAAAGCTTGCCCCGTTTCCAAGCAATCGATAAAAATTGATAGCGAAATCCAGGGATTGAGAAAGTCTCTTAGTTCTGAAGAGCATGAGTCATCAATTTGACACCTAGATTCTAGATCAAGCATTTTTCAAGTCGAGGCATTAGGCGAAGGCAAGTCCTTCGGTCGTTTGCGAGTTCGACTTCGGACTAGCGCACTCTTCTTGTTTCAATACACTTTTTAAATGTATCAACATTTTCTTACAAAATGTGTACCGCGTTGAGATATATATATTCTTGATCAGTCTATGTCTATGCTAAATTCACTCTCAATCCTAAAGATATCCTTGTGAAGCTTTGCAGGCAGTACTTAAGTCAAAATCGACAGGATCGAACCTCTATATCATAAGGCTGTCATAGGCACAATGGGTTAAAGGTTAAGTTCTTGTATAAGAAACGTTATCATTTATCGAGAGGTCTGAAGCAAAGTTAGTATTTGTTAGATACCCTATCCTCCTCATATATAAGCCACATCTAATCGTCACCAGACTGCTTTATCATTTAGATCTACAGGAAAATTCAGTCAAAAATTAGTTTTTGTACAGAAAATTTTTGTGTTCTTCAAGGTACTCCAACCAAACTCAGCAACTACGAGCTTCAAACTTCTCCGAACATATCTGCCTGGCCTTAAGCCACATATCTTCTAGGGCATTCAGTTTTCGGCTTGCCGCAGACAGCCTTTCTTTACTGTATATTTTTTTTGTTTTGGTTTTTATGGCTGCAACTTTGGCAGGTTAACCAAAACTGAAATCGATTTAGGAGCAGCCAACAGGAAATTGATTTCGTATGCCATCCAGAGCTCGCTCCCTTGGCTTCCATTTCGCTACAACCCCTCCCCCTCCCCCTCGGCCCTCAGCCCCACCACACCTTCCCCGCCTGGCTGCCTTCATTCTTCCAAATGACCCAATAAAACACAAAGCTAGCAAAATGTTGCTTTGATTTGCCAGCAACGCGCAAATTAGCTGCTCCATAGTTTTTCTACCATTTTTCTTTTTATATCTTGCCATAAAATGTTTTCGCGCGAATTTTAATTTTGCCACGCCCCCCTAGCAATAGGTCCAACCCCTCGATTGTTTGCCCTACAGCAAAACGTGCAATGTTTGCTTTTGTATTTGCTTGTAATTCATTTTAGCGTGAAACTTCATTTGCTGCAGCTGCTCGATTGGGGTTAGCGAGTTTCATTGTTTGTGCAGAGTGAAAAGTGCCCTCGCTCAATTTTCAATCTGACTGCTTCAAAATGCAATCGATGTATTCCAATTTGTTCGTACATTAAATTCGATTTATTAATTAATTTTTCGTGCCACACACACTCACACACTCACAACACACACGCACACATAGTTTGCAACAACTTTGACAGTAGCTAACTAAATGCTGAAAATTCAATTTAAATTGGGGTTACGAAAATGAAGTACGACAAAAACTAAACAAACTGGAAATAATGATTTGGTAATTAGTTCAGCGGAAACATAAAATAAAAGGAAACTAACTAGCAAAAACGCAACGAATTGTCCAATGCTCTCTTCGCAGTAAAGCAACAGCTGAAAACAGGTAGAACCTGTGAAAAAAGCGTGGAAAACTAATGAAATTTTGTTTGTTTTTTTAGCCGTTTGTCAAGTATACATATGAAATTCATGGGACATTTTCACCCCTTTTCAACAAATCCACCATGCAGCGTGGATGTTGTTGTTTGGCAAACATTTCAATTTTCATGCAGTGGTTATTTTGGTATAAAAACCGATTGTTTAAGTCTTTATACTTCAATTTTTGTTTATTTTGGTTAAATGTCTGTCGAATAATCTTTCAAAGCTAAATTAATCAAGCTACACTGTATCCAAATGGATTATAAAACGAAAAGGACGGATGTCCTTGCCGAAGATTTAAAAGCCTTGTAGATATTTGCCTTATGCAGATACTTGAGAATAGCCAAACTCGTAAATGCTGAGCTTGATGAAAATCTCGTCGAAGACAGAATATTTTGTCATACAAGAACCCACTTTTCGACAGATTATTCCCATGGCAGCTATATAATAAAGTGGTCCGATCCGGCCAGTTGCAACAAAAAGACGGACCTCAAAACTGAGAGATTAGTTCGCATAGAAGCAGACAGGCGGAAAGATGGACATATTTTTATTAACTCGGCTGTTGATGCTGATCTAGAATATATATACTTTATGGCGTCGGAAATGTCTTCTTCTTACACATTTCATGACAAAATCATAGCACCCTCTATAAAGGTGTAAAGGGTGATATATAGCTCTCATATGATTTTTATTTATGTATTATTTATTTTTATTTATTCACTAGAGTGCAATGTAAAATTTGAGTCTGAAAGAAAATTCAGTACGCCAGCAGCTAAAAATAAAAAAATAATTGTCTAAAATAGTAGTATAAACAATTAATCTGCGTAATGCAATAGTATGACTGCTAATATATAAAACTCATTCAATTTGTATATTTTTGTTATATAAAACTAAAAATTTTAGCACAATACATTGAGCTTTTCAAAGGTTTCGAAGTATTCCTATTTAAAAGCGACTTCTCTTAGTTTTTCCGCCTTCGAAAATGCACTCAATTTATGATAATTTTAATATTTCAAGAAAACGTAGTAGAAAACATTGAGTCATTCGGTCAAGAAGTCGAGTATTGATGACTTATTCTACTAAATTCTCGTTTGTTAAATGCTTAAAAAACGTAAATCATATTTGTTTTATTTTGCTCGTAATCAATCTCTAGTTGCTAAATTGCTGGTAATCAATTTCACTTCAATTTCATGTGTCAAGCAGATGCTGCTACTACGAAGTTCATTGAACTCTGTTGCCAACTGTTGACTCGGGCTGTGCTGTGGGGTCTTGTGATTGTTGTAATTGTAATTGCTCACAAGTGTAGCCGAAAACTACTCAAAATCATAATATGTTCTGCCCTGTCCCCATTCCCCGCCCCCCTCCCACACTTGCACACTCGAGCTTATGGATACTTGAACAGAATTTCCACAGAAAACAACTTAATAACTTTGGCACACATGTGGCAAGAGTAAAAGTAGGCAAAGTATCTCAACTGTTGCCGGCTGTTTATTAAATACTTGTAGTACGCACACACACACACGCACACTCTCACACACACACGCACACACTGCATAATGAGCAACACTTGCAGCACATTTAACGGACAGAAGCAACAAATGTGCTTCATGTGGCAGCAACTAAGCAACTTGCCACTCGACTTAATGACGTTTCACAGGAACTCCAGTTATTATTTA